GCCTAAGAAGAGGTAACCCTGTCCACTAAAACTTGAAATGATCTGTTGAAATTTGAATATGAAATCTAATTATACTTCATTGACCACTTGGCCACGCTCTTAGGTTCTTAAATTTCACTTTCAATAATTTTCAAGCCTGTTGCTATTGCTACACTTCCATTTAAAGGACACAGTCGAAGACCTAAGCTTGAAGAAAAGAAAAAAAAATCTTTTTTTGGGTGAGTTTTTAGGTGTTTTGATCACTCTTGCATCACAAACAATGATATGTTATTAAAAGTTGTTGCATGTGAATGCCCAAAAATATGATAATTTTACTAGTGTTACATCATATTATTTATTGAATCGATCAAACCAGTAACATATAAAACTTTAACTTCATGTTTGACCAATTAACTTTACTATGTACTACTGATATTTACTCAAATTTCAATTCTTCTAGGTAGATAAGAGAAAACGGCTAAATATTCTAAAGAAATACTTCCGGAAAATTAGAGATAACACATAAATATTTCCTCAATTTGTCCCAATGTTTCCACAATGCACTTAAATTTTGCAAGACACTTATTACCTCTAATTCTTATTAGACGTACTCCATCCGTTAAAAAGGAACTAAATCATTACTATTTAGAGTGTCAAACAACGTTTTCTTTGATCATATCTTTTGTAAATAATTTTTAAATATTTTGAATTGTTACTTATTATAACTTATAGTAGTACTTTTTATGTAATATCTAAATATGTAACTTTTATTTAAAAAATTTAAAGATTTTATGTTCGAATTTATACCAAAAATTGATAAATTTGACTCTCATACTACGCAAAAATTCAAACAAATTGACATGATATATTGACTACATTACGTGCCACTACGTGTCAAAAGACTAAAAAGAGCTAAGACAAGCCCGTTATAAAGGTGGAAAGAAAGGGAAAAAGAAAAAGATTCTGCATTGAAGAGGAGTATCTCAGTCTCTCTGAAATGATCTGCCTAAAAAAGGAGAATATATAAAAGGGGAAGAATTATTAAGTGTCAGTCATGCAAATGATCAATTATTATTTTTTGTTAAAAAGAAGGAAAAGAAAAGTCCCCCGTTTCTATCGGGGGAGCAGTTTGATGATTATGACAAAGCTGAGGATAAACAGCAGCAGCAGCAGCAACATGCATATAATATAATAATTTTTTTTTTTTTTTGGATGGGAAAAGAATGTGAGAAAGTTATGGGAGTGAAAAAGAAAGAAAAACAATTAAATGAAAAGTAGTGGGTTGGTTAGGTTAAGGGGTGTGGCAGTGGACAGATTACAGATAGAGGAAGAGAAAAGGAAGAAGAGGACCAGGATTTCTGACATTGATATGACTTATGTCCAACTGGAAATTCACTGAATAAATTCATGTAAAAAAAATAGTTCGATATACAAAGTATTTCGTATTTATACATCATTCGGAGGCGGACCCCAAATTTAGAAGTAGTGGGTGCATATTTACGTTCTATCAAAATTTACTTCGTATATAGAGTGTCAGTACTAATATATCACTATTTTGTAAAGACATATTCATTTATACATGAAATTCTTGCCGAATATTACAGGTGCCGATGACCCCTCGTTCTATAACATAGGTCCGCCTCTGTCGTTCGGGGAAAGGTCACACTCCAAATGTGTGATGTGACGGTCTATTAGTGGTTATTTTTACGAATGAACCATGACTGATAGGCCACATGAAAACAACTTTAATCTTACTCAAAGGTTTTCATTCAGTGAATAAATAGATGAATTTAAATTATATACACGAATATACATATTTTCTTGCACTAATAATCAATTTTAATTCAAAATAAAAAATTAGTAAGTACTTAGTTTTATTAGATAAACTAATGACATATATATATATATATATATATATATATATATATATATATATATATATATATATTGTCGAGTTTTTTCTTTATATAGAAAAAGATTTTAATGTGGCATAAAATATGCTCAAAGATTGTTCGGATCGCACGTCTGATGAAGTGTTCCTTGAATTTATTTGAATCCTCTAATTGAAATTCCTGGTTTGACACCAATGATCTGAGCTTATTTTTCACAGCTACGGTACTGTACTAGAGTATTATTTTAGCTAAACGATTTATAAAGCGAAGGGAAGCCTTGGCGTTAACTGGTAAAGTTGTTGCCGGCCATTTGACTAGAATGTTACGGGTTCAATTAAGCTATGGAAACATCCTCTTGTAGAAATCCAGGATAAGACTGCGTACTATAGACCCTTGTAGTCCGAAAAGTTATGGACTAATGCAGCATATATACTTGGTCCACATTAATAAAAATCACATTTTATGGAGTCAACGTTTTTCTGATCTTAAGTAGAATTTAAGCACGATTTGCAATTAGGTTATCTTATTCACTAATCAGTATCCCCTCTAGTCCAAAACATTAATTGTTTTGGCCAACTAAGTTTGTTTTAAAATATTTAATGTTATAACAAAATAGAGTCTTTATTACATTTTCCCAAATCAATCATAGTATTCTAATTGGTGGAGTGTTAAATAAGCACTTAAACATTTATTAAATATCATTCTTAATTAGTTATATCCTACCATTATTGAACTTGTCAACCTTGACTTAGTGAGAGATGTGGAAAGAGATCGTAGATTTTTAACTCTTTACCTTCCTATAATAAATTCGTTTGTTCCGATACTTTTTAGCTGCCATAGTGAAGTGCTGTTATAGAAAACATATATTATAATATAATATAAAGATTGATTCCAAGAAAAATATACCTTTTATAATGAATGAATATTATATAAGGATAATATTATAGAGACATCTGACGGTATATATTCAACAGTTCAGGCAACAAAATAAATAGAGTTACGTACCCTATTCATATAATAAACTAAGAGAGATTTGGTACACAAACAAGGAATGACTTTCTTAAAGTTTCTTGCAAATGAGTTTAGCCAATAATATAGGCAAAAAAGAGAGGGTAAAATAAGAGTGAAACTTGGATACAGTTTGAACGTTCAAAGAACATTAGTGCAATTTGTTTCAAAGATTAAGAAACCACTTGCCCCCAAAGGATATGCATAACTCCATGTGTTAGGCCAATTACTATATATAGAATATTACTACGTCAAATTATATATAAACTTGGGAGAAATTAAAAAATAGCCAGATTTACCACTGGTCGTTAAAAAATAGCCAAGTTTCAAAAGTCATCGAAATTTAGCCACTTTAAATCTGAGCGAAAACACTGTTCAAAATCTAGAAAAATACGCCCTCAAATTTTACGGGAGTTCCAGCATAAGTATGCTTGAACTCCCGTAAATTTTACGGGAGTTCCAGGATAACTATGCTGGAACTCCCGCAAATTTTACGGGAGTTCCAGCAAGTATAATTGTCGAGTATAATATATTGGAGTTTGGAGCACTGGTGCTCCAGTCTCCCGCAAATTTTATAGGAGTTAGCAAAGTATACCGGTCCAGCATAATATGCTGGAGTTCGTACACAAATGCACCAGAACTCCCGTATATTATACTGGACCGGTCCCTGTTGCAGCAAAATAGTGGCTATTTTTCATTTTTTTATTGACCAGTGTGAAAACTGGCTATACCATGATATTTTAACTATAAACTTAGAACAAACTGTTTAGCCCACTAGTGATATTGTCTGCTTTGGGCCGAGGCCTGCGCGACTTTAAAACTCATTACGAGAGTCTAAGACCTATCTACTTATATACCCAACATCTCTCCCATGTTTTGTCGATGTGGGATTCGCCTAAGGTGTCACAGTTTAACCCCACCTTTATTAGATGGTCGCTTTATCCATTAATGTGGGACGTATATTTAGTCGAGCCCCACTGTAAATATCGGACATCAAATGAGAAACAAAAAAGTAGAGCAGAAGATATGCAAGAATGAAAAAGATAGGATCAACTCTCTCAACATGCTATATACCACTTTGCCCTATCTTTAGATTAGTACACAAGAACAGGATTAGATATGAAAACTAAAATATTAGGATATATCTGCCAAAATAAACTATTACTGTAGTATGTACAGAAGACTACAATTCAGACAATTTTTTATTTAGTCCTCGTGTACTTTTGATTATTATTCTTATATCTTCCATTTGATATGTATAGAATTTCGCAGTAGCAGTAAAGTTCAAGTCATAGTTGTATAGCAAAAAAATATGATTTAACTCACTGAGCAATGTAACAAATTTTCATAGTACCAGCATCTTTTAACCGGTTATAATATGTTATTTTCTGCATTTTTATGTTACCAAATTGGGATAGCTCAATATATTATCAATCTATTATTAGTCATCTTAAAATGATAATGTATATCATATTGTCAGTGAATAGAAATTAAACATCAAGAGTGAAAAAGGATATAGACTATAGATAACTAGAACCAAAGAGAAATATCCTTGTTATATATAGTTATATACTACCACCCTTAGTTCAACAATTTACAATCCTACCCCTCATCATCCCTATATTTTGCTCTTCATTTTGAACCTATAGATGTTTTTGGGATCAGAGAAAACACTGCCCCTCATTTAGAGGGCACCCCATTTATGACCAACGAGAAATGGAGAGAGAAGAGGGCGGGGGGGTGCATAGGTTTTTGGGTGGGGGGGGGGGGGGGTCGGTAACGTTGTAGTTTTAGTTTTTTTTTTTTT